GTGACCTGATCACTGAGAATAACAAGTCTGTTACCTCTGAAGGAAGTGACCTGATCACTGAGACTAACAAGTCTGTTACCTCTGAAGGAAGTGACCGTATATAAAGGAGTATAATCAGTTGTTTTCTGTCTTCGCCCCTCTGTGAGGAGACACTCGGTAGTTTTAGCTCTTAGCAGCTAAACGTCAGCTAATGCTAACAGTTTAGCCTCAGTAAGGATCTGCTGGGATCATTCAGCTGCTCTGTGTCAGAGCAGGTAAATACTCTGTGTCAGAGCAGGTAAATGTAGCTGATGAAACATAGCTGTAAGCTCTAATAATGTAAATAAATTAGTGAATAATTGGCCCTGCCCACATAATAAACCATGGACACCAGATAATTACAGCTCAGTTAAGAAGTCAGCGCGAGCAGCCCTGAGCGTCAGGGCGCCATGTTTATCTTGTTTACCTGACATAAACACCGTGACTAACAGTCAAATCACATAAACTACGTCCTGTTTACCTTCTGTTAACTCCTACAGCTGTTCCGGGATCATCCAAGACGCCTCTGAGCGACTCAAAACAAACCTGCCTCAAAGACTTATCCGGTGCATTTCAAAGTAAAAGTCTGAACTTCCGGTGATACTGTTGGTAATAAAAGCCCTCAGAGGCAGGTGGAGCGCCCTCTGGTGTTCATCCTGAGAACAACCGGTCCTCCTACAGGAACCGGGACGGACTCAGTGTTGGCGGAAGTGTTGGACTCGTCAGCGGGTCGACAACATGAAGTGAAGCCCGGACTGACCTGTTATCGACAGTCAGTCCAAAAGAATGCAGAACGGTTCGGTCAGGACGGACGGGTTCAGACAAAGGTTCTGTGGATTGTGTTCTGAGTAGTTGGACCAGATTTGGAGTATTTTGTTTTTCCTCCTCCAGTCATGTCGGGGGGAAGAACCGGTGGGAGTGGGATGGAACCACGGAACGGGCTCAAACCGTGGCTCGGTTCGGCTCTGTCGGTTCTGAGTTCTGCTGTTACTGTGACTGGTGTCGGCCTGTGTTGTTCCGTGTTTTACCCGCTACTGAGAGGTAAGAATGACCTGCTACAGCAACACAAACAGGTTTGTCTTACAAAACTCAAAGGTAAGGTGTATGGCAGGCTCTTTGCTCATATAATAATGTTTAAACCATATAAAACATTACTATATATTGTATCACACAGTGTTATGGCAGGCTCTTTGCTCATATAATAGATGTTTAAACCATTTATAACATTACTATTTATTGTATCACACAGGGGTATGGCAGGCTCTTTGCTCATATAATAGATGTTTAAACCATTTATAACATTACTATTTATTGTATCACACAGTGGTATGGCAGGCTCTTTGCTCATATAATAGATGTTTAAACCATTTATAACATTACTATTTATTGTATCACACAGGGGTATGGCAGGCAACATTGCTCATATAATAGATGTTTAAACCATATAAAACATTACTATATATTGTATCACACTGTTGTATGGCAGGCTCTTTGCTCATATAATAGATGTTTAAACCATATAAAACATTACTATTTATTGTATCACACTGTGGTATGGCAGGCTCTTTGCTCATATAATAGATGTTTAAACCATTTATAACATTACTATTTATTGTATCACACAGTGGTATGGCAGGCTCTTTGCTCATATAATAGATGTTTAAACCATTTATAACATTACTATTTATTGTATCACACAGGGGTATGG